GGAGATGAGACAGTCTTCCCCACTTTTGCTACTCTTCAGATACCACCAAAAGTAGTTTTTGTGCCTGGATTTTCCATTCTCATTTGCAAGTACACTAAATTGGGCATCTCAAAAAATTCCCATTTAGGACATTGTAACTTAGACTCTGCTTTAGTTACAGTAGTCTACCTGATTAAATATTTGCATGATGATGCGCCATAAGTATTTTGCATATACCAGGACAGTTTTTAAAGGGGGAACATTACATTCCACAGCTGCTGGGGTTTTAGCTAATTTGCCTCATTTCCCATAATTTAGAGTTTCCTTTTGGATTTGACCAAATTGGGACGTGTGTCAGACCAAAAATATGCTGTTTGTAGACCTAGCTTTTCAGGGCCATTACTTCCTGAACTGGTTCAGTTCACCCGTGTCACTGCCTGGCACTATGTGTCAGGGGCTCAAGGTGCAGGAGGGGTCAGCTCCTTATATGCACCTGCTAGCTTAGATTAGAATCTAAGTATGTTCTTCTGAGGAGAAAACCTATTTAGAGCTGCTGTACATCTTAGGGAGTGTTTCTCCCAGACACCCTCATGTGATCTCGTCACCTGAAAATGCCCAGAAAGGATGAGGGGAGCAAGATCCTCTTATTTCTTTGGAGTGAAAGATTCCACACTCATGAGCTAGAAAGTTCAGAGTTAGTCAAATCCAACAGGGGAAAGAACCAAAACACACACACACACACAACACACACACACACACACACACACCAACGAGATGGAAACAAACAGCAAAACTAACAATGATCACACAAATTAAATGATTTTTTACTGCTCTAAGTGTAAGCAGGAATTAACACCAGCTGGTTGTTAATGCTAATTTTAGTTATTTAAAAGAATTTGCAAGACAGAATTCCAAACCAATTTCTTACCTAGTGATGGTGACTCAAGCTTAAGATGCCTCTTCACTAATGCAGATGCAGACAGGCTCCCCTTCCTTGATGGAAGCAAATAGAAACTTCCTCGAGAAAGAGGCTTTTTAACAGCAAATGCCAGATATGGGTGATGGGAAGGAAGGCAGCAAATCACACTGCCATGTGTGTACCTATGCAACAATCTTGCATGTTCCTCACATGTATCCCAAAACCTAAAACGCAATTTAAAAAAAAAAGGATAATGGCCCCTCAAAAAAAGTGTTGGGAGATCAGAGATACCTGGAGGAAAGAGGTCCTGGACTTTAACAAATCATCCTATCAGTTTGGGCTATAAGGTACCCAGGCCAGTATCAAGCACGGAGAGGAGAGCCGCTGCAGGCTGGGTCACCATCACTCAGGATCTCTTTGTGGTTACCAGATATCAATAAAGAAAAATGACAAGATGAGTATCAAGCATTTTAGAAGGCTTATTTGCCAAAGTTAAGGATGTGCACCCAAGAGATAGGTCTATGCCTTTCTCCAAAGATGATTTGATGACTCCAAATTTAAAGGGAAAAGGGCAGAATATTGAAAAGTACACAATTTTCATGTAAAAGAAGGGTAAGGAAAAATAGTCATTCATGCCTTTGTCTGACTCAGTGAATATGCATTTTTGTTGTTGTTGTTTTTACATAAGGTGACATAGACAAATGGGCTGAGAAAAAATGCAGGGAATCTGCATTTTACGTAAGATAACATAGGCAAAATTGGGCAAAGGGGAACAATCAGGTATCCATTTGTGATTGATGGGCCAAAAGTTACCACCTGCAAAGATAAGCTATCAATTTACATTGGCATGGTGAAATTTTAGAATAAACACAATAAAAGATCTTGAAGCTCACTAAGAATTCCATTGAGGGCAAAATATGAGGGACACCTGTAGTTTTTCATCTTGTAGCCATCTTATTTAGGAATCAAAACGTGAAGGCAGGTTTGTGTGACCCAGTTCCCAGCTTTTCTTTTCCCTGTGGCTAAATGAGTCTGTGGTCCCAAAATTTAATTTCCTTTCACAAAGGACATACAATACCCTAATCATTGTATTTACCTGAGTTCTTGACTTGGTTCTTTCTCATCTCTGCATGTGGGTGCTCCTTTAACTGCAGTGCAGACTTAGTACAGTCAATCAACTTCTTTTCTGGGTGTTTTCACAGGGCCAAGACTTTGCCCATTGTCTTTATTTCAAGCTGACTTCTAGCCTTTAGTTTCGAAGGTGGATATGTTAGCGAGGTATTTTTAGTGTTGATGCTTTGGGATGTGATCCAGTAGGTGGCACTTAGGCTTATTGGTTAGTTGGTAGACTCTTGCTCAGTTGCGTGACTCTCTCATGTTTTGTCACAATTGCAGTCATGTTCCCCAGAATGTTCTGAAAGTGTGAGTTTCTCTCCCCCTTGAATCCTGACTGTAGATCACAGCTTGGCACTCCTGTATTGCCTACTGCAGTTCTAGAATGATGTCAGTGTTTATGTTCCTTCCTCAACTTGGAGGCAGCAGAGGAAGGGACCTTAGTAGTGGCTGTGGCCAAGGGTGTTTTGCTTCTCTCCTAGTGTCTCCAACTCAGAAAAATGCAGTATAACAATTGCTCAGTGAAATCATCCCAGGATGGAGAGTCTGTGTTGCGTGGTCGGGTCAGAGATTCCCTGTCTGGTGATGAGCAGTATGGGGTGCATGGGACTTATGGGAGATGGCCTGGTTTCCTCCACATGGGCCAACTGAACCTTTTTGGAAGTGTAGCTAAGCCACATACGGTTTTTGCTTCTCTGTTAGTCCAAGCATAGCAAGGGCAGTTCCACTGCAGACGCAGTTGCAGGGAGGATTTCAGTTACCCTGAGGGGCTCTGTCCAGGGAATTGCCAAGTTGGTATTGGATCAATAGCTCTGATGGATTGGCTAGAGACTCAGGCCTGGAAGACCTGCCTGATGAGGAGATATTGGAATGAGCACCCATGTAAATCTATCCTCTCTTTCGTAGGTCTGCTGTGGTATGCTGAGGGCTCACTCCAGTTCCTAGTCATTTCAGATTTTCCAGTACCTGGAGGTATCACTAGTGAAAGCTATAAAACAGCATAGATGACATCTTGACCCTACCTCTGGGAGCTTCATTCCTGGAAGGTGCGCACCTATTGCTGGCCCAAATGCACAGTACAATGTGGCAAGAGACCCTAGTTGGGATGTCCTGCTCAGTAAGGAATAATATCATTGGGGACCTGCTTTAAAAAGCAGTCTGGTCATGTTTTCTTAGAGCAGCTATGCTGTACAGGGTATCTACTTCAGGTCCCCGTAACCTCAAACACTTCAAAGCCCCAAAACTGGAATATCTAAGCCATCCAAACAGCAAAGAGAGTGGCTCCCTCTTCCCTCTGGGAGCTCCATCCAAAGGAGGTTTGAAACCTCTGTAAGCCTGAGAACACCAACAGGCATAGCTGGAGACCCCAGTTGGGAGGCTCCACCCAGTGGTGAGAAATGGAATCAGGAAGCCACTTCAAAAAACAGCCTGGCCACATTTTTTTTTTTTTTTTTTTTTTTTTTTCCTGATCAGCTGTGCTATGCTGGGAGACAGCCTCAGTCCCCAGTCAGCTCGGACTCTCCATAGCCTAAAGGCTTGAATGGCTATGTTGCCAAAACAGCCATGATAGAAGCTCACCCCTCCCTCTGGGAGCTCCCTTCCAAGGAGGTTTCAAATCTCTCACTGTAGAAAATTGGTGGGGGTGGCTGGAGGCTTCTGTTGACAGGTCCCACCCAGTGTGGAAGAACGATATTGATAACCCACTTTAAAAAGCAGTCTGGCCACGTTTTTGTAGAGCAGCTGTGTTGTGCTCGGAGATCCCTTCTACCCCCTCTCAGCTTGGAATCTTCAAAGCTCATAGGCTGGAGTTGCTAAGTCATCTAAACAGCAAAAATGGTGACAAACCACTTCCTCTGGGAACTCTTCCCCACGGAGGTGCAACGCTGTTAATGGTGGCTGGCTGGAATTCCAAGCCCCTGTGTCTTATCTTAGGAGTTACCATAGAAGTGAGGCCTGCAGGATGTCTCTGGGCAGCCTTCTGGATTCACAGCTTTTACCAGGAGTCCATATGAGGATTTAACCTCCCACTTTGCCAGAGATGCATCTACGTTGGCCAGGGAGCCTAGAAATCCCAAGTATCCAAAGCTCCTGGTTCTCTGTGAGTGCCCAAATGGCTTCTCTGCTGAGACTCTGTGTATCTCTGCCTGTCAGACTGAAGGCCCCAGTTGAGTGGGTTTATGAGGGGCTCTCCTGACCCTAGAGTTGCAGAGAAACCATGGGAGAAGTATAGGACCCTGGGACCACACATTCATTCACCACTTTCCTCGTAGTTATATTGTAGCTGGGAGATGCTTTTAACTTGAAATCTGGAACTGATACAGCTTCAACAATTGTCACAAATATGTTACTTTAAAATATTTAAGTTATTTATGGAGAAATTTTATTTTAATTCACCCACTTATTGACTCCCTCAACAGATTTAGGTTGTTATTATCTATATTCTGTGATTATATCTATTAAAGAGGTCAGGGTATCAGGAGATGGATCTTTTGTGAAGGTGATTAAGTTTTCCAGCAGATTCTTTATTAATGGGGTTAGTGCATTATAAAGTAAGTGCAAGGAAGCTAATTTCTGCCTTCTATTATGTGAGGAAACAGTGAAAACATGCTATGAAAAAGTAGACTTTTACTAGACATCAAATCTGCCTGTGTCTTGGACTTCCCCACATCCTAAACTTTGAGAAATATACCTCTGTTTTATATAAGCCTGTCAATATGTGTTTTGTTATAGCATCCTGAGCAAACTAAGAAAATGTGATGGTTAACACTGAGTGTCAATTTGATTGGATGGAAGCTTGCAAAATATTGTTCCTGGGTGCATTTGTGAGGATGTTGCCAGAGGAGATTAAAATTTAATTCAGTGGGCTGAGAAAGGCAGACCCATGGTTAATCTAGGTGGGCACCATCTAATCATCTGCCAGTGTAGCTAGAATATAAAGCAGGCAGAAAAAGGTGAAAAGGCTGGGGTAGCCTAGCCTTCCAATCTACATCTTTCTGCCATGCTGGATGCTTTCTGCCCTCTAACATTGGACTCTAAGTTTTCAGTTTGGGGACTTGGACTAGCACTCCTTGCTCTTCAGCTTGCAAATGACCTATTGTAGGACTTTGTAATTCTGTGAGTTAATAAACTCTCCTTTATATATACTTCATATATACATTTTTTAATATATATATATTTATATATATACATATATATTTATATATACATGTATATATTATATAGATACATATATTTATATAGATACATATATATATATATATATATATATTTATATATACACATATATATATGATGCTGCCCACCACCTGCAGAAGTCTGGCCTGCAGGCCCTGACTTAATGACAGATGAATCAATGCACTCTCACACCTGGTTCAGTGGTACAAGTGGGCTAGGGATGGCCGTTTGCTGCTTTCAGAGGGCGAAATGTAACTAATCGACCAACACTCCCTGTTCATCCACATTTTTATTCCATAGATGTTACAATAGAGGTTCTAAGTTAACATGCTTGTGGATAATTATCAAGGTTAAGAGAATATTTCATGACTGATGAAAGCTTTAGGTTCCAGGCCTAGAGTAAATACTATTAACAGGTAATTCCCATTTGATCTTCCCCAGAGAGGGTCACCCCACACAAAATTTACATGAGTAAACAGAATGGAGACAAAGGGATGTGAGGTAAACAGACTTAAACTGGGAATGTCTTCAATCATTTCTATTTCTTTCTTACACTAATGTTAATGAGAAGGCTGCCCTCAGTATGCCATAAAACCTTTCAGCCTTTCAAAACGTTTGAGATTGCAATCTATAACTTTTCCTAATAGTTAATATCTTACCAGCCACCTCGAGTGAATATCAACATATATATATGTATATATTAATGAGCTTCATATATATATAACAGTTGACAAACTCCCCTTCATATATATGCCTCGTTAGTTCTGTTCCTCTAGAGAACCTAGATTAATACAGATTTTGGTACCAGGAGTGGTTCTAGAGGAACAGAATATTAAAAATTGAGTCCTTTTATTGGTTTTTAAGTTTCAGTTGGCTGCTTAATATGATTAAATCCAAAAATTCTAAGGACCCTACTTCTAATAGCATGGGGAACACTGGGAGTCGTTGGCATGAACTGTTTAGAGAGTTATGCAAAATAAATACATTGGACAAGACTGATTCACTGCTCTGGAGAGGCAAAGAGCTTAGTGACTCTCTACATAATATCTTTGACCATATGTGGAGAACGAAGGAACATAATGAAGCTGGTTGGTTGCTTCTGCATTCAATGGACAAAGTGATCAAAGAAAATGATGAACTCAAGGATTCTAACTTCTGGCTTCAGAAGCAGATACTGAGCCACAAGTCTGCTGAGAGTGCCCTGAGTGAGAGCCTTATCTCCTGTAGAGAAAGAGCTAAAATTGTGGAAAAACAGACATAAGTTCTTTTCCTGTGTGTGGCTAACATGCACTCAAAGGTGCATGCACAGTCTCTCCAGGTGTCTGCTATTAAAGTAAAGGCATTGATTCAAAAAGAATGGGACCCTGCAACTTGGAATGGTGATGTGTGGGAGGACCCTGATAAAGCTGGGGACACTGAGTTTGTAAATTCTGATTAACCTTTTTTTTTTTGCCAGAAGAAACGGCATCCCCATCCCCAGTAGTGGCAACATCCACTCCCCAATCTATGCTACCCTCAGCCTTTCCACCTTTGTATGAGGAGATAAACCCTGTGCTGCCTGAGGCAACAGTGATGGCCTTCCCTGAGGCAGTTGCCAGGCAAGATAATGTTGATTCTCTTCAGGAGCCACCCCAACACCCTTGTTTGCTTCTAGACCTATAACTAGATGAAAGTCCCAGAGGGTCCCTAGAGGTGAGGTTGAGAATGTGACCCATGAGGAGTTGTGCTATACTCAAAAACAACTGCTTGAGTTTTCTAATTTATAAACAGAAACTTGGAGAATGGGCATGGAAATGGATATTAAGGGTGTCAGATCATGGTGGAAGAAACATAGAGTTGGATCAGACTGAATTTATTTATTTGGACCCACCACGTAGGGACTCTTTATTTAATGTTGCAGCTCTAGAGTTTAAAAAAAAAAAAAAAAAGGTTCGAATAGTTTATTTTCTTGGTTAGCTGAAATATGGATTAAAGATAGCCCACTGTGAGTGAGCTGAAAATGCCTGATCTCCTTTGGTTTAATGTAGAAGAAAGGATCCAAAGGCTTAGGAAGATTGGGATGGTGGAGTGGATTAGTCACTTCAGACCTACTCATCTCAGGTTGGAACATCCAGAACATATAGTTTTGACCAATGTGAAATAGATTTGTGGAGGCAGCACCTACATCTTTGAAGAGCCCTTTAACTGCTCTTTGCTTTATGTCAGATCTAACTATGAGAACAATGTTTGCTCAACTACAAAATTTAAATACAATGAGAGTAATTGGATCCTGATGTAGCAGGAGCCAAGTGGCAGCATTCAACCATCAAAGGAAAGGTGGCCCTAGCTACTGTAATGGGAAGCAAAGGCAAAGCAGCAAGCAGAATAGTCTGACTCATGTAGAGCTCTGGAATTGGCTAATTAGTCATGATGTTCCTAGAAGTAAAATTGATAGGAAGCCTGCTGCATGCCTGCCTAATTTATGTATGCAAAAACTTCTAGGTTGAATGGACAAAATACTAATTCAAATTATAAAAACAGATAATTATGGGCCTCAATCAATTTCCAGAATCGAGTCAGTTTACAGATGCAGAGCCTCTTGAATGAAGGGGAGGCTGAGTCCCCTTGAGGAAGTACCCCACTACACTACCAACAATGTATGCTGTTAATCTTTCTCCCATCCTTCCCCAATAAGACCTCAGGCCTTTTACCAGGTAACTGTGCAATGGGGAAAAATATGATCAGATGCTTTGGGGACTACTGGACACTGGCTCTGAGCTGCTATTCATTCCAGGGAACTCAAAATGTCATTGTGATCCTCCAGCTAAAGGAGAGACTTCTAGAGGTCAATTAATTAATGGAGTTTTAGCTTAGGTCCAACTTACATTGGCTCCAGTGTGTACCTGGACTCATCCTGTGGTCATTTTCCCAGTGCCAGAATGCATAATTGGCATCGATATACTTAGCAGCTAGCAGATCCCCCACGATGGCTTGCTGACTTGTAGGGTGAGGGAAATGATGGTGGTAAAGGTCAAATGGAAGCCATTAGAGCAGCTCTAGAAAAATAGTAAATCAAAACCAATATTGCATTCCTGGGAGCTATTACAGAGATTAGCGCTATGATCAAGAACTTGAAAGACACAGGGGTGATGATTCTTACCACATCCTCATTTAATTCTCCCATTTGGCCTTTGCAGAAGACAGATGGATATTGGAGAATGACAGTGAATTACCATAAGGTTAACCAAGTGATGACTCCAATCGCAGCTGCTCTACCAGATGTGGTTTCATTGCTTTAGTAAATCAACACATCTGCTGGTCCCTGGTATGCAGCCATTGACTTGGCAAGTGCCTTTTTCCCCATTCTTTTCCATAAGGCCCACCAGAAGCAATTTGCCTTCAGCTGGTAAGGCCAGCAATATACTTTTACTGTCCTACCTCAGGGGTATATCAACTCTCCAACTTTGTGTCATAGTCTTATTTGGAGAGACCTTGATCACCTTTTGCTTCCACAAGATATCACATTAGTCTTTCACATAGATGACATAACGCTTATTAGATCCAATGAGCAAGAAGTAGCAAATAAGCTGGATTTACTGGTGAGACATTTGTGTGCCAGAAGATGGCAAATAAATCTGACTAAAATTAAGGGAGCTTTTATCTCAGTAAAATTTCTAAGGTCCCAGTGGTGTGAGACCTGTCAAGGTATTCCTTCTAAGGCAAAGAATAAGTTGGTGGATTTGACCCCTTCTACAATAAATACAGAGGCAAAATACCTAGTGGGTTGATTTGAATTTTGGAGGCAACATATTCCTCATTTGGGTATGTTACTCTGGCCCATTTATTGAGCAACCTGAAAGGTTGCTAGTTTTTAGTGGGGTCCAGAGAACCCACAAGAGAAGGCTCTCCAAAAGGCCCAGGCTGCTGTGTAAGCTGCTCTGCCACTTGGGTCACATGAGCCAGCAGATTCAATGGTGTTTGAGGTGTCAGTGGCAGATGGGGTTGCTGTTTGGAGCCCTTGGACGGCTCTCACAGGTGAATCACAGTGTAGGCCTCTAGGATTTTGGAGAAAGTCCCTGTCATCATCTGCAGATAACTACCCTCTTTTTGGGAAACAGCTTTGAGCATGTTACTGGGGTTTGCTGGAAACTGATTGTTTGTTTGATTATGGGTCATCAGGTCATCATGTGACCTGAACAGCCTATAATGAACTGGGTGTTTTCTGACCCATCTATCCATAAAGTGGGTTATGTACAGCAACATTCCATCATCAAATAAAAGTGATATATATGAGATTGGGCTTTATCAGGTCTTGAAGGCACAAGTAAGTTACATGAGAAAGTGGCTCAAATGCCCATGGTCTCCACTCTTGCCACCCTGCCTTCTCTTCCCTAGCCTGCCCTGATGGTCTCACGGGGATCTCCTTATGAACAGTTGACAGAGGAAGAGAAGACTAGAGTGTGCTTCCCAGATGATTCTGCAAGATATGAAGGTACCACCCGAAAGTGGACAGCTGCAGCACTACAGCCACTTTCTAGGACATCCCTGAAGGACAGTAGTGAAGGGAAATCTTCCCAGCAGGCAGAACTTTGAACAGTGCAACTGATTGTGCACTTTGCATGGAAGAAGGCATGGCCAGATGTACAATTATATACTGATTCATGGACTGTAGCCAATGGTTTGGCTGGATGATCAGGGACTTAGAAGAAGCATGATTGGAAAATTGGTGACAAATAAGTTTGGAGAACAGATATGTAGATGGACCTCCGTGAGTGGTCAAAAACTGAAGATACTTGTATCCCATATGAGTTCTTACCAGTGGGTGACCAAGGCAGAGAAGAATTTTGATCATCAAGTGGGTAGGATGATTCGTTCTGTGGACACCACTTAGCCTCTTTTCCCAGCTCCCACATTATTGTCCAATGGACCTATGAACAATGTGGCCATGGTGGCAGGGATGGAAGTGACATATAGGCTGAGGAAAATGGACTTCCACTCACCAAGGCTGATCTGGCTACATCCACTGCTCAGTGCCCAATTTGCCAGCAGCAGAGCCCAACACTGAGCCCTCAATTTTGAACCATTCTTAAGGGTGATCAGCCAGCTACCTGGTGGCAGGTTGATTATATTGAACCTCTTTCATAATGGAAAGGGTAGAGGTTTGTCCTCACTGGAATAGATACTTACTCCAGATCTGAATTTGCCTATCCTGCATGCAATGCGTCTTCTAAGACTACCATTCATGGACTCATGGGATGCCTTATCCACCATCATGGTATTCCACACAGTATTGGTTCTGACTAAGGCACTCACTTTACAGCTAAACAAGAGTGGCAGTGGGTTCATATTCATGGAATTCACTGGTCTTACCATGTTCCCCATCATCCGGAAGCAGCTGGATTGATAAAACAGTGGAATGACCTTTTGAAGTCATAATTGCAATGCCAACAAGGTGACAATACTTTGCAGGGCTGTGGCAAACTTCTCCAGAAAGCTATGTATGCTCTGAATCAGCATCTGGTGTATGGTACTGTTTCTCCCATAGCCCGGGTTCATGGATTCAGGAATCATAGGGTGGAAGTGGAAATGGTACCACTCACCATCACCTCAAGTGATCCACTGCCAATTTTTTTTTATTCCTGTTCCTGTGACATTAGGTTCTCTGGTCTAAATGTCTTAGTTTCAGAGAAAGAAACACTGACACCAGGAGACACAACAATAGTTCCATTAAACTGGAAGTTAAGATTTCCACCAGAACAATTTGGGCTCCTCTCACATTTAAGGCAACAGGCAAAGAAGAGAGTTACAGTGTTGGCTGGAGTGATTGGATTATCAAGATGATATCAGTCTACTACTCCACAATGAAGGTAAGGAAGAGTATGCATGGAATGCAGGAGATCCGTTAGAATGTCTCTTAGTATTAACATGCCCTGTGATTAAGATCAACAGGAAACTACAACAGCCCAATCCAGGCCGGACTCCATCAAGAAAAAAAAAAAAAATCACAACCTGCTGAGGTCATTGCTAAAGGCAAAGGGAGCACAGAATAGGTAGAAGAAAGTAGTCATCAATACCAGCTCTGATCAAGTGACCAGTTACAGAAATGAGAACTGTAATTCTCATGAGTATTTCCTACTTCTTTTGTTAAAAACATATTTGTGCATGTATACACTTATACTAAGAAAATATCTTCATTTTATGTCCTTTTTCCTTTATCATGTCACATAAGATTTATTGACTTCATCAGCATTTGAATATTGTTAACTTTATGTAATAGCATTTGCGTTAGGGATTGGCGCATTTCTGGTTGTACGTAGGATGGTTGTATTATTTTGGCATCATTTTGACATTATTATTATCTGTATTTGAAGATTATGTATGATCTCAGGAGATGTGCATGGGTTCATGTTGACAAGGGGTGGACTTGTGATGGTTAATATTGAGTGTCAACTTGATTGTGTTGAAGGATGCAAAGTATTTATCCTGGCTGTGCCTGTGAGGCTGTTGCCAAAGGAGATTAACATTTGTGTCCGTGGGCTGAGCAAGGCGAACCCACCCTTTATTTGAGTGGGCACCATCTAATCTGATGCCAGTGTACCTAGGACATAAAGCAGGCAAAAAAATGTGAAAAGGCTAGACTGGTCTAGCCCCTAACCTACATCTTTCTCCCATGCTAGATGCTTCCTGTTCTTGAACATCAGATTCCAAGTTCTTCAGTTTTGGGGTGCAGATTGGCTCCCCCTGCTCCTCAACTTGCAGACAGTCTATTGTGGAGCCTTGTGATCACGTGAGTTAATACTTAATAAACTTCTTTTCATATATATATCCTGTTAGTTCTGTCCCTCTAGAGAACCCTGACTAATACAGACAGTATCCTAGTATTTTGAAATTTTCAAGCTATCTTTCTGTTATTGATTTCTAGTTTACTTACATTTTGTCTGAAATCAGGTATTGTATAACTTCTTTTACTTTAAATTTATTAAAGTGTGTTTTATTACTTAGAATGCAGTCTGTCTTAGTAAATGTTCCACTGGAGCTTTAAAAGAATGTGTGTTCTTGCCGTTGTTGTGTGAACTATTCTATTGATGTACATTATATCCCACTGATTGATGTTGCTGTTGATATCTTATTAATTTTCTGCCTGCTTTTGCTGTCCTTTAATGATAAACACATTTTAAAATCTCTACATATAATAGTAGATTCATCCATTTATCCTTAGAAGTTTTATAAGTTTTTGCCTCACATATTATGATGTTCTGTTTCTAGGCACATTCACAAAGGGGATTGTTACGTCTTTTTGGAGAAGTCACCCTTTATCCTGTATAATACCTCACTTTATCCCTGACAACATTCTTTGCTCTGAAGCCTGCTCTGTCTGAAATTAATATAGCCATTTTCATTTTCTTTTGATAAGCATTAGTATGGTATGTATTTTTTTCATTTACTTTTTTAAAATTGTACTTTAAGTTCTGGGTTACATATGCAGATCTTACAGGATTGTTACATAGGTACACACACGCCATGGTGGTTTGCTGTCTCCATCCCCCTGTCACCTACATCAGGCATTTTTCCCAGTGTTATCCCTCCCCAACTTCCCCGACCCCTGCTGTCCCTCTCCTAGCTCCACACCTCCCAACAGACCCTAGTGTGTGATACTCCCCTCCCTGTGTCCATGTGTTCTCATTGTTCAACACCTGCCTATGAGTGAAAACATGTGGTGTTTGGTTTTCTGTTCTTGTGTCAGTTTGCTGAGAATGATGGTTTTCAGATTCATCCATGTCCCTACAAAGGACACAAACTCATCGTTTTTTATGGCTGCATAGTATTCTATGGTGTATATGTGCCAGTCTATCATTGATGGGCATTTGGGTTGATTCCAGGTCTTTGCTATTGTAAACAGTGCCACAATGAACATATGTGTGTGTGTATTTATATTTTGATTAGACTTTTGGTAGACAATATATAGTTGGTCTTGTTTTTTAAACCACTTTGATAACCTCTGCTTTTTTAAATTGATACATTTGGGGGATGATCCAAGATGGCCGTTTAGGGAAAGCTCAGGATTGCAGCTCCCAGTGAAAGCGCAGAGGGTGAGTGGACGCCGCGTTTTTATGGCCCACAGACTAGGAAATTCCCGGGCAGAGGTGCTCCACGGTCGCCAGCGCAGCTGTTTCGGCCAGCCCAGCTGTTTTGCCCCGCACGGCTGCTTTGTCGGCGCCCCGGAGACGCGGTTCCCATACAAAATACACCCATCCAGAGGCCCTTTTGGCTGGTGATTGGAGCCACAGGAAGTCGCCCGTACGCCGGTTCAAAAAGGGGACTGAGCAGAGAACCAGGACAGTAGATTCCAGAGCAAAAAAAGAAAAAAAAAAAAGGGCCACAAACCTCAGTGCCACTGTTTAAGCCAGCACAGTGAGTGGCCACAGGGGAAAACAAACAGACCCCGGCACCTCTTCAACAGGCGACTGGAACACCAACTTAAAAAAGCCTCTGAGGCACGGAGCCAGGTTATCAGGCTCGGCTGGCGCCACCCCCGGAAAAGAACAGCAACCAGAAACTCTGGATTGAGAGTTTCACAGCAAGCACAGCTGAACCCAGGACGGTCCAGCTCTGTGGGGGAGGGGCGTCCACCATTACCGAGGCAGCCCGCCATTGTCAAGGCAACCCGCCATTGCTGAGGCGGCCTGCCGTTGCCAAGGCAACCCGCCACAGCAGAGACTCCACCCCAACAGAGGCGGGCCACCATCACCAAAGCAGTTCTAACTACACCCATATAAACAGGACTGCAGGGAAGTTCACTCCGCAGCGGGGCAGAGCCCACAGCAGCTAAGCAAAGCTGCTATAGTCCGACAGTGACTAGGCTGCCTCCTTGCTGGGCTGGGCAGGTCTGAAGGAAAGAAAAAAAAAAAGAAGGCGGCAACATAACGGAAACTCATAAATAAAGCCCAAAATCCCTGGGACAGAACACCTGGGAAAAAAAGCAGTTTATGAGTTCTGCTGCAGCACACCTAAAAGTACGGGCCCAGCAGCTCTGAATGAACAACAAAAGAGCTCACAGCTCACCATTTGAGCTCCTATAAAGAAGAGACCGTCTCCTCAAGTAGCTCACTGACCCCTATATATCCAAAAAGACACCTCATAAAAGAGAGATCAGATGGACACTAGGCGGGTATCCTTCTGGGACAAAGATAGCAGAAGAAGAAAACTGGTAACAACCCTTGCTGTTCAGCAGCTGCTGCAGGTGAACCCCAGGCAACCAGGGCCTGGAATGAACCTCAACAGACCTACAGCAGAGGGGCCAAACTGTCAGAAGGAAAACCAAGTAACAGAAATAACCTCATCATCAACAAAAAGAACGTCAATCTGTAAGATTTGAGACCCAATCTGAAAGCCAGCAACTACAAAGTCGACAGGTGGATAAATCCTTAAAGATGGGAAGAAACCAGCGCAAAAAGGATGAAAACACCCGAAACCAGAACACCTCTCCTCCTAAAAGGGATCACAACTCCTCACCAGCAAGGGAACAAGGTTGGAGGGAGAACGAGTGTGATGAAATGACAGAATCAGACTTCAGAAGGTGGGTAGTAAGAAACTTCTGTGAACTTAACGAACATGTTCTAACCAAATGCCAAGAACCTAAGAACCTTGAAAAAAGATTTGACGAAATGCTAACGAGAATGGACAAAATAGAAAGGAATATAAGTGAATTGATGGAGCTGAAAAACGCAACATGAGAACTTCGTGAAGCATGCACAAGTATCAACAGCCGAATTGACCAAGCAGAAGAAAGGATATCAGAGGTCAAAGATCAACTCAATGAAATAAAACGGGAAGGCAAGACTGGAGAAAAAAGGGTAAAAAGGAATGAACAAAGTCTCCAAGAAATGTGGGACTATGTGAAAAGAACTAATCTACGTTTGATAGGCGTACTCGAATGCGACAAAGAGACTGAATTCAAGCTGGAAAATACTCTTCAGGATATTATCCAGGAAAACTTCCCCAACCTAGCAAGGCAGGCAAACATTCAAGTCCAGGAAATACAGAGAACACCACAAAGATATTCGTCAAGAAGAGCAACCCCAAGGCACATAATCGTCAGATTCACCAGGGTCAAAATGAAGGAGAAAATACTAAGGGCAGCCAGAGAGAAAGGTCAGGTTACCCATAAAGGGAAGCCCATCAGACTCACAGCAGATCTCTCAGCAGAAACCCTACAAGCCAGAAGAGAGTGGGGGCCAATATTCAACATCCTTAAAGAAAAGAACTTTCAACCCAGAATCTCCTATCCAGCCAAACTAAGCTTCATAAGTGAAGGGAAAATAAAATCCTTTGGGAACATGCAAGTACTCAGAGATTTCGTCACCACCAGGCCATCTCTACAAGAGCTCCTGAAGGAGGCTCTACACATATAAAGGAACAACAAGTACCAGCTCAACTAAAGGGCAAAACACCCAGCTAGCACCAAAGGCAGTATCAAATTCACACATAACAATATTAACCCTAAATGTAAATGGACTAAATGCCCCAATCAAAAGACACAGACTGGCAAATTGGATAAAAAGACAAAACCCATCTGTGTGCTGTATCCAGGAAACCCATCTCACATGCAAGGATACACAAAGGCTCAAAATAAAGGGATGGGGGAAGATTTACCAAGCAAATGGAGAGCAAAAAAAAAGCAGGAGTTGCAATTCTCATCTCTGATAAATTAGACTTTAAAGCAACAAACATCATAAGAGACAAAGAGGGACATTACATAATGGTAAAATGTTCAATGCAACAAGAAGAGTTAACGATCCTAAATATATACGCACCCAATACAGGAGCACCCAGATACATAAGGCAAGTTCTTAATGACTTACAAAGAGCCTTAGACTCCCACACAATAATCGTGGGAGACTTTAACACCCCATTGTCAACATTAGACAGATCAACTAGACAGAAAATTAACAAGGATATCCAGGACTTGAACTCAGACCTGGGCCAAGCAAACCTAATAGACATTTACAGAACTCTCCACCCCAAATCCACAGAATATACATTCTTCTCAGCACCACATCACACCTACTCTAAAATTTACCACATAATTGGGAGTAAATCACTCCTCAGCAAATGCAGAAGAACGGAAATCGTAACAGTCTCTCAGACCACAGTGCAATCAAGTTAGAACTCAGAATTCAAAAACTAACTCAGAACCGCACAGCTTCATGGAAACTGAACAACTTGCTCTTGAATGTTGACTGGATAAACAATGAAATGAAGGCAGAAATGAAGATGTTCTTTGAAACCAACGAGAATGAAGACACAACATACCAGAATCTCTGGGACACATTTAAAGCAGTCTCTAGAGGAAAATATATAGCAATAAGTGCCCACATGAGAAGCAAGGAGAGATCAAAAATTGACACCCTATCGTCAAAACTGAAAGAGTTAGAGGAGCAAGATCAAAAAAACTCAAAGTCTAGCAGAAGACAAGAAATAGCTAAGATCAGAGCAGAACTGAAGGAGATAGAGACACAAAAAAACCCTTCAAAAAATCAATAAATCCAGGAGCTGGTTTTTTGAAAAGATCAACAAAATAGACAGACCACTAGCCAGATTAATAAAAAAGAAAAGAGAGAATAACCAAATTGATGCAATAAAAAACGATAAAGGGGATATCACCACAGATTCCACAGAAATTCAAACCATCATCAGAGATTATTACAAACAACTCTATGCACACAAACTAATAAACCTGGAAGAAATGGATAAATTCCTGGACACTTGCCTCCTGCCAAGCCTAAACCAGGAAGAAGCCGAAACCCTG